GGTATAAGTTGGTTCAGTCAGGCAACGTGTGGACCAAAACATCGCCCACTATTTGAAACATCGCCCATGGGCGGGGTATCAGCCGAATCCGGTAATAAGCTTATTTATTTTCTGTGGTGTCGAAAAAAAAAGTTATTGAATTGGTTTTGCCAATTTCTTTCCCTAGCATATTTGTATTAACCTATTACCAATTGATAAAAATTAGCAGATGAATAAGACAACGTGAAAATGCATTAATACCTGGATGGGAAAGTAAAAAGAATTTGACATGTGTGAAGTTCAGAGATGTACAAAAAAAAAACAAGTTACCTGAGAAACCTGATATATACTATACTATATTGAAGTTTTCATTCATTATCTATTCTATAATGTTCTTATAACGACGGTCACTCGCAGTGTCACATGTGGGGGGGGGGGTACTCGTACACCGTTCTCCATACAAAGATCGTGAAACGAAGAACACAGTTTAAAATGAGAAATTTGATTTACCAGTTTTTCGTTTCAACAGAATGTTGAGTTGTTACAAGCCAATTGCTGCACGAGAATCAACAGATGCTCAATTAGTATAATATAAATCAGACTTTTAAGATCCATTGGCATCAATTTATATCTTGTTAAATAGTGTCTTTGTGTGTTTACATTGAATGAGAACAATTAAATATAATCTTTGATATATTGCCTGTGAAATTCGATATAACCAGGGGACAGAGACATTTCAATGATTGGTACTACTGATAAATACTCTGAAATGAACGCATATTAATTATCCAATTTGTATATATTAGGCTTTCTCCATCAACATCTTAAAAACTAGACGTATATCAGTTGAACTTGGGTCATCAGGGACTTGATTAGTTATTGGTTTGATAGAAATCAATCTTGTTAACCACTGTCTGTAAATATCTGATTATCAACAGACTTGCTTAGTTTCGGGTTGAACACACTAGTTCTTTGTAAGCTTTCTGTGATCTCAATTAAAACTGATAGCATTGTATTCACTGCACCTGTTGTATCCATGGTAACGGGGCAGTGATGCAGAATGTGCGCCAGACAAATGCACGCAAGTTCAATAACTCACAAAAACTGAGTTTTTGAACTTTACTGCTTTTCTACAGTGATTAATAAATGATATAAAACGTGTATATTCCCAAATTTAATAAATATTTTCTTCTGTAAATACATCAACATACTTTAATACAATGAAACTTGTGCTTTCAAATGAACATTAGATTCAGGATTCCCTTTCTCTTCTTAAACAATGCCAACAACAGCAGAAAAATACATTAGTTTTTTTCTATTCACAAATTAAATGATATGATTATGTCCCAAAAAAAGTAAAGTCTGAAACTTTCTCAATAGTGCTCCATAAATGGCAGATCAGAGAAATACTTTGGACGTATTTATCGATGAATAGTGTGAGGTGCACCATGTCACATCACTTATACGATATTGTACAATTATCCAACTGCAATATCTGCAAATAAAACATTTTCCTGAGTATTTAAATAAATTGTGATTCTGGTAAACTTGAATTACATATAGATTGAGTAATTAATTAAAAGAACAGGAACTTTTAAATATTAGCATCAGTGTCTATTTGTAATGCTACTGATGCTGATTTTTGTTTTTCAGGGAGTAGCAGAGAATGTACCGGTACAAAGGTTGAATCCGAGCAACAATATACTTGCACCAGCGTAAAGTGGAAAATTTAAGAATCCACAAAATATATTTGTGTAAATACAACATGGCAAGCAACGTAATACTGAAAACTTTTTTTTAAAAATGTCCAAAATCAGTGGAGTAAACGAATAAATTTACAGACAGTGTATCAACTGATCATTTAAAAATTAGGTCACAATCAAAGAAACTACCAGGTAAGCATCTGAGGCAGCAAGGAGTTGTCAAAATATCAGGGACCACCACTGTTACAGGGTTTAACATCTATGATTAACATTAATGTCACATGATTCATTAAGTTCAAGCTTACATCCCCTGGGACTCTAGTGGCTTACATGGCCTAGGTTAATTGACGATGTCCTTTTTCATCTGAATTGTCTCTTTCACTGTATGCAAATATTTTTTTTATAAAGTTCGGCGATTATTAGGAAGATCACCGATACAACGATTCAAAAATCACATGTTGAACAAACTGGCATAAAACCATGACATCATGATTTCTTTTCGGGTGACTGGCTTGTAAATCCTGTTGTACTAGTCGCTACCCGCCACAGTGACGCAACTGATGCTGCTGCTGACGACATTAAACCTCCCGTTGGCAATTCACTGCTAGTAGGCCCCCCCTGTTCTGGAATTACTTGAGACTGCAATGGTGGTGTGTACGTTTCACTCAAGCGAGCTGCGACATCTGGCGATGTTGAAAAACGTGGTACAGTTTCCCACTCACCACCTAGATCAACATCGTCCTCGCCTTGACTATCGTTGTCACTATCATCAGAGAATCCATAGAACGGGGGTGATGATTCTCACAGTTTGTATCAATTCTGAATTGACCTCAAATGGACCACTTCTATAGAAAGCAATCAA